AGAAAGAAAGAAAGAAAGAAAGAAAGAAAGAAAGAAAGAAAGAAAGAAAGAAAGAAAGAAAGAAAGAAAGAAAGAAGTTATACCGGCTTACAAAAGGGGCACTGCCAGGTTCTCCTCTAGGAACTGTTCGTGACCTCACTAGCTATGGGTAGTTGCTAAGCTTATAATACCACACAGGAATTTCCTCTGTTAAGGGAGGGGCCCTTAAGTCAAATTAGGTATACCCTTGTGACTATCCTGCCTTGACTGTCTTTCTTTTGGGGGTTCACAAGATTTACAACTAGGTATACATATTGGATGCTTTCTTCCCTTGGCAGATGCCGTACCCAATGCTGTAAGAGCTAGTCCTCAGAAAGGAGACTTCCAAGTCAGTTCCAGGTCGAGTCTTCTGGGTCCTGGGTCATAAGTATGTGATGTCCTTAGCACAGGGTCTTACTTTCAAGTATGGTAGGCAACCAAGGCAACAGCAATAATAATCTATGTTATTTGGGGAGTCTCTTTGACTCCACTGCCCAACAACTCAAGGGGAGGTTTCCCATGCCTGGCACTGGGGTTTTGGGTAGATGTAGTGTATGGCTCTTGGGGGAGGGAATTAGCAGCCCAAATGACATAACATCATTCAAACTCTATATTTTTCCTATATAGAGAGATGATAGATAGATAGATAGATAGATAGATAGATAGATAGATACATACATACATACATACATACATACATACATACAAACATACATACATAGATATATAGATACATAGATAGATACATACATAGATAGATGATAGATGATTGATAGATAGATAGATAGATAGATAGATAGATAGATAGATAGATAGATAGATAGATAGATAGATACAAAGTAATCCTGTAAAATAATGTTTCCCTATGACTTTTTTCAAATATATTTAGTGTGATTCATCCCTCCTCTCTCCCACTCCCTCAGTATACTTTCCCCTCTCCCCATTCCTCAGGAAAGTCTCCTCCTTTTCCCTTCCACAGCACTTGTCTCCAGCTCTCCTTCTCTATGCTTCTGTGGTACCGTCTTGCTTTCCTGGTTTCTGTGGTTGCTCCAGGTTACATACTCACATCTACACCGTCAGAGATAGGATCCACAGATAAAGAAGAACACGTGGCATGTCTTTCAAGGTCTGAGTCACCTCACTCAGCACAATATTTTCCAGTCCCATCCATTTACCTATAAATATCATGATTTCATTTTTCTTTGCAGGTAAATAGAATTCTATTGCACATGTGTATCACATTTCTTTTATGTGTGAACAGTTGAGGAAGGGTTTCTCAGCAAACTTGGGGCTTACTAATTGGCCAGACTGACTGATAAGAGAACATCCCAAGGATCCTCCTGTCTCTGCCTCCCTGCACTGGAATGACAGGTACATGTAACTATGCCCAGCTTTTTACATGTGCACTGGGAATCCAACCCCAGGTATTCATGCTTAAACAGTAAGAAATTTACCTATTGAGCCAATCTCTAAAGCCCAAGTTATTTTTCATTGTTTGTGAGTATGTTTACATATGTGTACATGTGTGTGCAGGTCCTCATTCATATGTGTGCAGGTACACATTCATGTCTGTGCTCATGCTTGTGAAAAACAGAGGAAACTCTTTCAATCGTCGTTCATGCGTAGTCCATCTTGGCTTTTGAGACAAGATCCCTCACTGCCCTAGAACTTTCCAAGTAGGGTGAGTTGGCTGGCCATTAAGTCCCAAGCATTTACCAGCCTCCATCTCCCCAGTTCTGGAATTACAAGATCTATCATCACCATGCCCAGACTTGACATGGTGGTCAAACTTGGGTCTTCATGCCCTCACAGCAAGCACTTTACATACCAAGCTATCTCCACAGCCTGAACTTGTTTTTTATAAATTAACTGTTGGTGTATTGATTTAATTTTCATTTATATTCACTTTGGGAATTTTAAAAGATAAATGAAAAATGAGAAATACAAATAAGAGTGAAAAGAAAAAAATCTGTACTCCAATCTCTCTCAAAGTCATCAACTGTTAACATTCACAGCTTGTTCAGATTTCTTTTTATATATGCAATTTCAGATTAATGTCAAAGTATACACAATATTTTATAACTTCTTCCACCTAACCATTAACTTTGGGAGGAAGCTGTCCTATTTTTCTTCCTAACCATTTTTCATGGGAAAAAAAATTTGTCATTGGACATTCTTTTAAGACATGATTGTACATAATGCCAACTATTACCCTGCCCTGAAGTATTTAAGCATTCCCAAATACTAGTTATTTAGAAAGATTTCAGATTTTACTGTTTTCCAAACAGTTGACCATCTTTGTGTTGTTCTACAAGTTTTTCCTTAAGATAAATTCTACTAGCAGACTATCTGAAATTCAAAAAGAAATAATATTATCAAATGTTTTATTCTGTTCAATAGAGTTTAACTGAAATTACATAGTTTCTTCCCAAACCTCCTCTCAGATTCTGGCTGGGATGTGTGATGAGATGCTTCTCCGATTCTCTGAAAATAGGGTTTCAATCAATCCCATTAGGAGGCGTACACTCTTTTCTGGGAAGAAACAAGAAATCTCTGACATACAGCCTGATTAAGAAAAAAAAAAAAAAAGAATCCGTTCTGTTTGCTGATAAGCTGGAATTTGAGTATGAGCATGCAGAAACAAAGGCCACAAAATTGATGTGCAATGGCTGGCGGTGGCATCCTTAGATCATGCCTTCACCTTTGAAACTCAGTGCTGAGTATGTTTAGTATGTCGATGCTCAGCTAGAGTGAAGAGCCTTCAACTCACCTTTTATCACTCTCTACTTTCCCTTCTGGCTTGTTGGACTATATTAGTTTCTTTATTGTCAAAATATAGAGAAAATAAAATAGCAACCCTTGAAATTCCCAATTATAAACCATTTCACACTAGAGCATGAGTCAAATTGCTTCCAGTGCCTCCCGCTTGCAATCCAACGAACCTCAAGGCTGTGTAGTAATGGGCCAGCCTCAGAAGACAGAGTCCCTGCCTGCTCTTGGCCTGCGCATGCACTTCTTCTTCCTGTACCTCTCGAATTGCAGCCACACTAGACACTAAGCCACTGAACTCTCCAGGCACCTTCTGACGGGAGTACATGAGTGAACTCTTCCCTCTGCAGGGAAAGCTTTTGGGTTCTTCCAGCCATTCAGAGCATGATTTAGATACAATTTGTTCATAGGTTTTTCCCTGCCCACCTTGTATATTCCCTGTCACTCATCCTTGCATCACCTAATTTAAGTCTCTGCAGGGTTCTTGCTATTCTCTAATCTTATATAACATCAAAATCTATAGATTATTTCACTCCTTGTTATACATACCTGGAGTCCAAGGCTCAGCACACAGTAGGTATTCAAAATTTGCTTGCTACATCCTGCTGAAAGTTGTCAGCAAAACTGAAGTCCCACAAAGAGAGAGGGGAACATGGTAATGAAAACCAGATGGACCTCTGCTGGAGTCATGCATGTTACACAGCTGACCTAAGACAGCAAGTGTGAAGAGATTTAGAGAGACCCCTGAGAGAGAGAAATCTAGGGACTTTTTCTTTTGGTTGTCAAACAGAGATGGGAAAAGAAAGAAATAGAAGCTGGAAAGAAAAGGGGGAAGGAAAGGAAGGGGATGGAAGGAAGGGAGGCGGAGTAGAGGGAAGGATGAGAAGAGAATTCAGGGCGGTTCTTTGAGATGCATGTCAAGATCTTGCAGGAACAGAAGGCACGGTGCTAGATCAAACAAGACATGAGCCATGTATTTCAGGGTCAGGCAGCTGAGCCCCAAGGAGGAGTGGACACTGAGCTTGTAGAGTTAGTGAATTCTTCTGCAGATATAAAGAGAAGGAAAAGAGGGATAATGCAGGGCCTGGGTAGCAGCAGGGAGCAATGAAAGCATAAAGCTATTTCAACAAAATGGCAAGTCAATCTGTGGCTGCTGTGAAGAAACAGAGAGAGCTACAGAGGCATCCGGATGGTCAGGACTCATGTGTCCAACACACATGTTCCTCACAAGTGCCAGGGCAGTCAGGGGAACGCAAAATAAAACTACTTTGAGATTTCATCTTTCCCCAGCTAGGAAGGCCAAGATCAAGGAAACAACTGACAGGAAATGCTGGTAGGGGTGTGGGGGAAAGGAGCCCTCATTCGCTGTTGGTAGGATTACAAGCTGGTGCAGCCACCATGAAAATCAGTGTATAGAACTCCCAAAGGAAAAAAAAAAATGTAAAAGTGCTATGTGATCCAAATGTACTCCTTGACATATGCCAGAAAGACTCAACATCCTACTCCACAGATACTTGCTCAGCTGTTGCCAAGTCTACTCTGTCCACAATAGCTAGGAAATGGAAACAATCTAAATGTCCTTCGACTGATGAGTGAGTATTGAAAATGTGCTACTTATGTGCAATGGAATTCTACTCAGCTGTAAAGAAACAATTAAATCATGAAATTTGCAGGTAAATGGTTAAAAGCAGAAAACGTTACACTGAGTGAAGTAATGCAGACCCAGAAAAATCAAATGTCAAGGCTTCTCTCATTTGTGGATTGTAGCTCTGAATCTTTGCGTGTGAGTTTATAACATGGAGTAACCACAGAAACCAGGATCAAATGGGATGGTGGGGGTAGTGAAAGGTAGCTATGGAAAGGGAGATAGGAGGGCACAGGTGCTATGAAGGGGAAAATAGGAAATTGTGGAGATATAATGCCCACACCACCAAGTTCACTCATTTTGGTGTGTGCCTCAGTTTTGAATATATTCACAAAGTCTTGTAATCATCACCAGTATCCAATTCCAAAACCTTTTCTTGTTTTTCTCCAAAGAAAACTCAAGTTCATTAGTATTCATGTCTCATCTCCACCCCAAGACCACGACAAATTCCAAACTACCTTTTGTCTGCATGGAGTTGCCTATCTGGGTATTTCCTATAAAAGGAGTCCTACCGTATGTTTGTAGTGGGTAGCTGTTCCAGCTTTGACCAGAAAGTACTACCCCTAGTGAGGCTTCTGGTAATGCCACACCTACCTCTATGACCTGCCCCTAGGGTAGGGCCAAGACAGGAGCCCTTAAGACCTGAGATCCAGACATGCCAGGCCTCTTGGTTCCTGGTGATCCTGGATGTTGGAAGACAGTCTAAGTCAGAGTTCTCCAGAGAACCCCTCTGGACTGCACCTCACCTCTCCCAGATCCTGTAACCAAGCCCTTTACTGGCTGTAAGTTATCACATTATATGTTGTCATTTCTAGCTGGTTTTCTTCATTCATGATTTCATTCTTTCACTAATGTCTTCAAGGTTCATCTAACTTGTGGCATGTGATAGGATGTCTTCCTCCTTTTATGACTGGATAGTATCCCATCGTTGTGGTTGTTTCATGTATAACATTCCACTTCTCGACTGCCGACCAATGGTCATTTAGTTTACATCTATTTACTTGTGATGAGTAACACTGCTATTAACATTCATGTACAATTACCTCATTCTCACAGATATGTGTCTGGGAGAATTGCTGGGACTTGAGATAAACTTAATGGCGTGAGAGCCTGTCTGTTTCCAAAGCAGCTTCTCAATTTTACAATCTTAGCAGCAAGTGCTTCACATCCTTGTTCACACTTATTATTCCTATCATTTTGTCACAGCCTCCCTAGTAAATGGGAAGTGATAGCTCCCTGTGATTGCTCACTGTAGCTTTGATTTGCATTCTCTAATGACTAATCATGTTAAGTGTATTTGAGTAGGCCTATTAGCTGTCCTATTCTACAATCTCGTCTTAACTCACTAGCAAAATCAAAATTTCCAACCTATAGTATTGTCTCAATAATTCCTTCAAAGGCTTTATAAATGTCATCTCTTTGCACTGAAATTGAAATCCAAATCCCCTTCAATATACAGTGTCTCACATGTTACAACTTACAGCTATTTGACTAATTTGCATGCATGTCAGCTTCTGTCTTAGTTACTTGTCTATTGCTGTGATAAAACACCCTTGGCCAAAGTAACTTACAAAAGAAAGTGTTTAATTGAGCTTACAGTTTCAGAGGGTTAAGGTCCATGATGGTGGAACAAAGACATGGCAACAGGAACAGCTGATGTCTCACATCTTAATCCCTCATCAGGAAGCAGAGAGGACACACTGGAATAGGGTGTGTCTTAGGAGATCCCAAACCCCGAGACACGCCTGCTCCAACAAGGCCACACTTCCTAATCCCTCTGAAATAGTTCCACCAACTGGGGATCGAATATGCAAACATATGGATCTATGAAGGTCATTGTCATTCAGATCACTAGTGATCTGCATTCATAACAGTCTAGTAATACCTGTCTGCCCTCTAGGAACCCTGGTGCTTTACACAATGCTGTGAGCAGTCTATGAGGAGCAAACCAGTAAGCAGCACTCCTCCTTGGCCTCTGCTTCAGCGCCTGTCTCTACTTTCCTGCCTTGAGTTCCTGCCCTGCCCTCCTTCAATGATGGACTATGACATAGAAATGTAAGCAACTTAACCCTTTCATCCCCAACTTGCTTATGGTCACAGTGTTTTAACATAGCAATAGGAATCTCTAGTTCCTAGCAGGCCTAGAGATTGTTAGTTCAACTCAGTCCCCATCTCAAAACTGTGCTCTCTATTGCTGGGATGTCTCAGCCAGCATAACTCACATCTGTGTGCTGTTCATTCATCACTCAGTAATAGTGAATGTTAGAATCAATAAACCAAGGTGGGCAGTAGACCTGTTATCATCATACAGATGCACAGTGCAGGTTTCATTACAGCTGTTGGCACTGAAGAATTTGTCTTGACTCATTCATCAATGTGTGTGTTCCAGTCAGATGAAAATATGGTGATATTTTATTTGTACTGAAATGTGATTTTATTTGTATGTTAATAAATAAAGCTGCCTGGGGGTCAGAGCTAATAGCAAACCATAATAGAAGTCTGGCAGTGGTAGCACACGCCTTTAATCCTGATCACATGACAGGCAGATCTCTGTGTGTTTAAGGATACCACCAGCATGGAGACACATGCCTTTAATGTCAATACCAACCATAGAAGACCTGGAGGTCTGTATAGATGGGCAGTGAAGAGGAGGTCATGTGGTTGGGTTTACAACCAATGAGAAGGCAGAACAGAAAGTCTATAAAAAGACAGAGACACAGGAAGAAGGTCTCTTGCGGAGGGAAGGACAGGGGCGGCAGTGAAGGGTTAGATTTTTAGTGCTTAGCTATTACTCTGACCTTTTGGGCTTTCATCTTTGCATTGGCTCTGTGTTTCTTATTTAACAAGATGGTTACATCTACATTTGGCACACAACGTGGCAAGAATTCATTAAAAACCTCTTGGCTTGGCTTGGCGGCAGGTCCAGTTTCCCGCCTGGGCAGCCCAGCTCCCTAGCTCGGGCCTAGCTCCCTAGTTCAGGCCTAGCTTGGCTTAGGTCTCAGGCCCAACTGACTGTAGCTACAAGCGGTTACCCGCAGCTGGAGCTACTTGCTTAAAGCCGGTGCTACAAACAACTTAGGCCTGCTGGAGCTACCAGTCAGCTGCACTGGACTATAATTGCAACAGCTACATGGAAACACCAATGAACATGGTCGGAGCTTAAGAAAACCAGAGCCCAGGCTCCACTTGGCTCAAGCAGAGTATTGTAATGCAATTTTTGACTGTATATATTGTATATAGTTATTGGATAGTTTTTCTTGTATTAACTATAAGCTTTTTTAAATTTTAGACAAAATAAGGGGAAATGTGGTGGTATTGTGTTCCCCAAAATATTGTGCACCCTAATAAACTTATCTGGGGTCAGAGACAGAACAGCCACTAGATACAAAGGCTAGAAAATGGTGGCACTCACACCTTTAATCCTAGCACTCCAGAGGTAGAAATCCCTCTGCATCTCTGTGAGTTCAATGCCACACTGGAAACAGCCGGGCGATGGTGACACATGCCTTTAATCCCAAGAAGTAAGCCTTTAATCCCAGGGAGTGATGGGAAAAACAGAAAGATATATAAGGCGTGGAGACCAAAAACTAGAAGCATTTGGCTGGTTAAGCTTTCAGGCTTTCGAGCAGCACAGTTCAGCTGAGATTCATTCTGGATGAGGACTCAGAGGCTTCCAGTCTGAGGAAATAAGATCAGCTGAGGAACTGGGGAGGTGAGGTGGCTGTGACTTGTTCTGGTTCTCTGATCTTCCAGCGTTCACCCTAATACCTGGCTCAGGTTTGTTTTTATTAATAAGAACTTTTAAGATTCATGCTACATGAAAGCACAAGGATATCAGGTCAGTGTCTCTACAAGACCGTGGACAGTGACTCTTGCCCACAGCAGCCTTCTCTTTAAAAGAACAAAACAACAACAACAACAAAAACCAGACAGTGGTGACACCTTTAAAGCAGGCAGATCTTTGAGTTGGAGGCCAACCCGGTCCACAGAGTGAGATTCAGGACAGCCAGGGCTACACAGAGAAACCCCTTCTCAGGATACACATACACACACACATGCATACATACATACATACACACACATACATACACACATACTACATACACACACATACATATATACATACATACATACATACACACATATGCATACACACATACATACACACATATGCATACACACATACATACACACATATACTACATACACATACACCCATACATACATACACACATACATACATACACACATATACACATACATACATACACACATACATACATACACATACATATACATATACATATACATATACATATACATATACATATACACATACATAAAGTCCCTTTGAATTGTGCTGTAGAGTCAGCAGTTCTATGGAGTCTGAGCTTACCATTACCACATTCAAAGAAGTTTGTTCAAGCCGGGCGGTGGTGGCGCACGCCTTTAATCCCAGCACTCGGGAGGCAGAGCCAGGCGGATCTCTGTGAGTTCGAGGCCAGCCTGGGCTACCAAGTGAGCTCCAGGAAAGGCGCAAAGCTACGCAGAGAAACCCTGTCTCGAAAAACCAAAAAAAAAAAAAAAAAAAAAAAAAGAAGTTTGTTCAAATCAGTTAGAAGTGAATGAATAAGTAAATTCTCCATGTTATGCTATTGGAAATGGAAAATCATTCACATCATTCTTCCTGCTTGTTTTCTTTTTTTATTATTTGTGAGTATGTAAGGGGCGGTGGTATGTGCACTTAAGTGCCAGTGCCTATAAACAGGGCCTCTTATCCCACAGAGCTGAAGTTCCAGGTTGTGAGCCATCCAACACGGGTGCTGGGAACTGAACTCAGGTCCTCTGCGAGAACAGTATGTGCTCTTGAACGCTGAGCCATCTCTTCAGCCCTTCCCCTGTTTTCCCAAATGTATGAGCATTAAAAAAAAATAGCAGTTCTACAAAAGACTTACCCATTTCTTCCCAAACTGCTCTACTGCAGATTTGTCTTCAGTGGCTCAGCATAGTCCTTAGTTATTCAAAGACAATCAATGGAATGCTCAACCTTATCTGTGGGGGAGGAGGAGGGAGCAGGGAGGGAAAGGAGGGAGAGGAGGAGGACAAAGAACAGAAGAGAAGGAATCATAGAGGCTCTTCAAAATAAAATAATTGCTAGAACAGCAGTTGGGAAAGGTACACGATCCACAGAGTGTGTTCCATGGTGGCATCCTACCTCTCCATCTCATCCGGAACAAGGGTGATAGCCATGTGCTCTGGAGACAGCAGGGACAGGAACCAATAGCCTCACAGCCAGCTTGGGAAAGCTGTTCTCATGTGGTCCTCTTTCTGGCAGCCTTGTCGCAGAGTAGGTTCAGGGCCAAAGGGGAGCCAGGGGCTGGTCTAGGAAAGCTAGCTCAGACGTGGAGTCAAGCACAAAGCAAAAGGTGAAGCAGGACTTGACTCAGATGATGAAGAGGGAGTTCTTCCTGAAGTCAACCCTCCTCACTTCCCCGGCCTGCAGCTCCCTTTCCCTCATGTGTAATGATACGGCACAGAAGGCCCGG